TTTTTTAAAAAAATTTTCAATTAAAAAAATGGTTATCATGGATTGCAAGAAGAACCAACCACTCCCTCTTGGTCAAATAAAGACTGAGTGAAGTGACATTCAATGCAAACTCATGTTCTTTGGACAAATGTTGCAAACAGGTGACAGCCTAGGAAGAAATGTATTTATTCAACTTATACGCCACCCATTTCACTGGTAAGGCAACTCTGGTCAAATATGTTTGTCAAGGATTCAGGGGAAGTAAAAGAAGATAAGAAATTTGGTAGTAAGAGGGATGGGATAGTTTTCAGTGCATCCTTGTAAGAATAATGGATTAGCAAGATGAGCAGCCTATAAATTGGTAAATGAATATTATTAGAAATATGCCCAAATGGCAATTGCTGGGAGTCAGTTTGACTGATTGACACCTAGCACATTAATGACCTTTGCTTGTGTAATGTAAGTTTTAGAACACAATGTTCCTTTTGGGTGGAAGGAACAAATTTCACCATGTGCAAATTATCAGTGGGAAAATTCAAATTCATGGATTGGGACAACTCAGAGAAAGTGAACACTGCATTTATTAATAGAGTACACAAAAGGTTAAGAAAGTAAGAAGGGTAAAAAGGCAGCTAGTACATATATCTGAGCTTGTGAAATTATCATGATTTTTGTTTTATTTATCAATTGGTATGCAGCTTAAATAATTCATTTTCATCTGAAGAATACAACCTATATACCTAACAAAAAAAGGATCATTCCCCCAATTTTATTTTCTGGATGATATATTGGTTTGTTCCTTGATCATCTTTCATGCAAAGCATTACTATAACTTATCACTTGTGCATTTTTTTAAAAAAAGGACAAAGAAGAATTCTATTTTGCCTGAATCCTACATATACTAATTTTTACAGAGAGAGGAAACATTAAAAATAGTTATAATTTAAATAGAATTCACCAGATGGAGGAAGACTGTGGCCAGACATGGATGTTGCTTGTATGATATATATGTGTGTGTGTGTGTGTAGTTCTGGTTTAAACTCTATATACTGTCTTAACTAACCAAGTATGCATTTTGCCCAATTTTGTTTGCTTTTGAGCATGTCCACCATAGTCCACCATAATATGTGACCAGCTTTTGATTACATTTCCAACACTTAGTAGACATATTTTTAAACATTTTTGCTAACCTTTCTAGTGGTAAGTGGCACCTATAAAACATTTCTATACAAGTTTTCTTTATAAGCAGTTGCCATAATCAATTTATAGTTTCTTTCCCAGATTTTTTGCCAGTTATCTAGTTCTATATTATATCCAAAAAGTTTTGCCCATACTCTCATTGTCTCTTTCACCTGTTCGTCTTCCATTTTTAGGCTTAGTAAAAAGTTAAATAGTTTCTTAATTAACTTTTCATCTACCGTTAACAGTATTTGGTCAAATGTTGTCTGCTCTTTATAAAAGCCATAAATCTTAGCATCTTTATTGTACCTCAATTGCATTTGCATTTGTGGCCACCATGATACATTCTTGAAGTTCTTGTTTGGTTTTTAGTTTCCCTTCTGCATTTAAAATATCTTTATATGTTAGAATTTTTTCAAGGTTTACTAGTTTTAGGTGAACAAATGCTTCCATTGTTGAAAGCCATCCTGGTATTTCCATATATATTTTAGCTTTTCCCTTTTCCATACTAAAAATAGTGTATTTCTTATATAGTGATTTTGGAAAAATCTATGAATTTTATTCTTACCATACCCTAAGAAAGTATGCCATCTAGTTGCAGATCATGACCTGCTAAATTTATTTATTTATTAGACTTATATACTGCTTCATAGGGCTTTCAGCCCTCTCTAAGCAGTTTACAGATTTTTAGCAAATTGAGTCAGCAAATTGCCCCCACAGTCTGGGTCCTCATTTCACTCACCTCGGAAGGATGGAAGGCTGAGTCAATCTTGAGCCAGTGAGATTTGAACCGCTGAATTGCAGATAACAGTCAGCTGAAGTGGCCTGCAGTACTGCACCCTAACCACTGCGCCACCTCGGCTCAAATACAATAGTCTTTTATGTCTGAATGTTATGCTAATTCTTGATGAATAATGTCAAAGTCTCCATCTTTCCTTTTTAGGATTTACTTATTTATTGACTTGGATTAGACACTCAGTCTGACCAATACAGGCTGCTTCCACAAGATTTGGTGTTTTAAATAAAAGATTGCTCTGTAAAATATAACTACCACCACCTCTCTGCTCTAAATGCATTTTAGTTTGGTTTAATCTCTTACCATTTTAATCTTGTTTTTGTATTTGCAATTATTTTACTTCCATATAACAGAATAACAGAGTTCTAGTCCAATCCTCCGCTCAAGCAGGAGACCCATACTATTCCAGAGAAATGGCTGTCCACCCTCTTCTTTAAAGGCCTTCAGGGATGGAGTGCCCACAACTTCTGAAGGCAAGCCTTTCCAATGGTTAATTGTTCTCACTGTTAGGAGATTTCTCCTTAGTCCTAGGTTGCTTCTCTCCTTGATTGGTTTCTATCCATTGTTTCTCGTCTTGCCTTCTGGTGCTTTGGAAAATAGATTGACCCCCTTATCTTTCTGGCAGCCCCCTCAAATATTGGAACATTGCTATCACCCTAGTCCTTCTTTTCACTAGATTAGAATATCCAGTTGCTACAATCATTGGGAACAATAAAATAAGTTTTATTATATGTTATAATAACTCAATGTCATCTGACACTGTGAGCTGATTGGCATATAAATTTGATACATAAATAAAATAGACAAATAACAGAATTCTCCTACACTGACAGGTCTTCTCTTTGTCCCAAATTGGGTCCCTCACAGAGGTGGGTGATTTGTATTACATCAACCACCTTGCTCTTCAATCAGATCACAAGTATCTCCCCTTAAATCTGGGACTGGATTCCTACGTGATTCAGGTTCTAACATAAATTTCTTACATTTTTTTTGTTGAAGTCATCCATAATTTTGCTGCTTCTTAACACTCTGTTCTTTTATCACAATTGATCCCTAGTCACAATTTTATTATTCCAGTTCCATGATCATGTTTTCTGTGTTCCCCATTCCTGTGCTATTTACCTGAAAAGTGCCTCTCTACTAAATTGGACTGATTTCATATCTCTTCCTTCAAATTACTCTTTAAAGCTCACATTTTTGGGAAGCATTTTCATTCCTTACTGAAACGGAGTATGTAGTAGTGAACAGATGCCTATTGCATCCCATTTTGCCTTTTCATTGCTTCTTTTCCTCTGCTGAATTCTTGCATTAAATTATAGGTTGGGAATTCATTGAAAAACAGTCTGGCATTTAGTAAAGTATCTTATATTGACAGTAATCTAAATCAAACAATAACCATATATAATCACACTAACCTGAACTTTCAGACTGCTCGTCCATGCCTAGTTAAGGAGGACTAAATTACCTTTGTATAAACAAGCAAATCACACAGATTTCTCCATTATCCCTAACCCACTAAACTTCTTTGTAGCATGAAGATTCGAATCCTGGTTTCCAGACTGGGTATTCTGTGTTGTCCCATATTTTCTGATCTGAGAGGCATCATCTCTCATGACTGAGCTAGAGACATGATTTCTGCTGTTTCCATAAAGTTATTTGTTACTTTGGCTTCTATTATTTAGCTCTATATCCTAGCACAAAATGAGATTACTTAAAAATATGAAATTAAAACTCATGCCAGAATGTACCAGAATAATGAAGCAACATAGTTCCAGTGATGCTATCCAAGAATCGATCATCTTAAGTTCAGAGCTAGCTGCCCATTATTCTAGTTACATTTGTCTACACATGATTATTCAAAAGCGCTTGCGGAATTATGAGACAGCAAAAAAGACGTATTCTTTGTAACAGTCTTTTTGCTTTCCTAAAGTCATAAAAAGAGTATGGGCAGGTACCTCTGGTTGGTTAGCCACACCTATACTGAGCTCCATCCCTGGAGGGCAGGCAACTTTAAAATAGCCCAACAGTTAAGATCTCACATATCCAAGAGGAAGAAAGGAAACTAGACTCTAGCTGTATAGAGTGAGGACTTGTGTGTGTGTGATTTTGAAAAGGAAACAGCACAATGTCTTCAGCAACCGCCACAGCTGCTTTACCCAGTGGTGCTTCAGTCCTGGCTTCATTTCCTGACATTCTTGTTATTCCTGAGTTTGTGAGTATAGCTTTTTCTTCTTTTAAAAATATAGCTTAGTTGCTAGAGAACACAATATCAAAAGTTATTCTGACGGTTAGACTGCATCTAAAAAGCCCTGATTAGATGCCTTCAGATTTGTTTCATAGGGATTCTGAAAGCAAAGTATCTAGATTTTCCAGTTTTTCTAATACCTTTCCTCCCAACATCAAGTACATTTTTAGCGGAATAAGCTATAGTTTACTAGAAGGAATTATATTTTGAAAACAATAATGTGAGGCTGGATAGCAAAGGTATTTTTTTAAAAAAAGAACTAGACTAGCAAGGAGGTAACATGGCCCCACTCCTCCATCCCTTGTTGACGGGCTTCAGAGTTAAAAAAAAATCTCTATTTTTAAATTTCAAGAGCATGTTTAGTTGATTTTCAAGGTTATACTCTGCTAATTCATGCACATAGCAGGTCCACCCTGTGCAGGTGTGCAGAACTCAAGTAGCTAATTATTTGGTTGAACTGGTGACCTGTGTACTGAAAACCAATCTTCAAGGTCTATTGAGTTTGCTGTTTCCTGGAGAAACATGGCATACCATTCTTGTATGTGGAGGTGCTTGGGTTCTTTAATAGATATTAGAATATGTAGAACATATGCTTGGAATGTGAATGACTAAAGGAGTAGCTACAGTTGCAGTGATTGTAAAGGCTAAGAGAGATTGACAGTCTTGTGTCCAATGCAGCTCTCAGGTTTTTGAGTTGATCAAATTTAGTGGAGAATTCTTTTCTCATAGCTCACCACATCCATTGGAGAAATTATCACTTTCATTCATTCAGGGTGCTTGGAGGGGTATATGCATAGAGCTTATTTTCTGTTCTCCTAGAGCAGTGGTTCTCAACCTGTGGGTCGGGACCCCTTTGGGGGCCGAACGACCCTTTCACAGGAATCGCCTAAGACCATTGGAAAACACATATTTTCGATGGTCTTAGGAACCGAGACACCAATTTTATGGTCACCACAACATGAGGAACTGTATTAAAGGGTCGCAGCATTGGAAAGGTTGAGAACCACTATCCTAGAACAACTCTGTAAGATTCATAAGGCAGAGGGAGCCATTGAGGTTCCATTCCTGAACTTCAAGAATGAGTGAAGTTTTGAACTCGAGTTTCCAATATTCTATGTATTTACACTGAAACAGAGACATATTTATCCCCAAGGAGCTTTATCCTTAAGGTAGGCATTCAACAGTGGTTTCCCAGGGAAATACCTGAAAATATGATAGCTTAGTGATTTTCTTCCTCTATAAGAACCCTGCTAATTGGCAGCAACAGCTTTGAGTTACCTTTTAGATCTGCATGATAAAAGAGCCTGTAGATTTCCTTACCTATGTCTACTATTATATTGCAGCTCTACTTATAATTTTTTTTAAGACTTAAGAGTGGAGTTATTAAAGAGCTATCCAGAAAGATAGTATTTCCTTCTTCAATGGGAGACTTGATATCCTCTCCAAATGTTAAGTGCTCATAATAAATACAAGATTGTACAGATTAATCAAGTCTAGTGATTTACCAGGGTGGGGTTCAGTTGTGCATATGCTTTTTCAGTTAAAGGGATTTAAATGTTTGTGCTGCATTGAATGTTTTGCAGGCTTTAATCTCTATACATGTCCTAGCAATTATTTGAAAACTTCAGGTCATTTCCTTATGAATACTGGTTGGGCCTCTGTGACTGAGTTCACACAATACTGTAATCCCAGGTAATCAAAACACAATTGCTATATTCTTCTAATAAGCTCTGCCTAGTGTACTAGCCTTATTTACACAGCCTAAGAAAAAGATTTCACAATACACTTGAATGGCAAAATACCCAACCCCATTTGAGCGTAATTTTGGGTGTTGAATGGATTCAGTTTTTTTCTTCTAAAATTTTAACTGTAGCCAAGTATAGTGTCAGCAGGAAGGGGACAATTTGTACTCCAGTCCTGCAGTTTCCCTAAAAGACTCTCAAAATTCTCTCTTCACACCTAGAGGGGCCATTAGTTGCTCATTTCTCAAGGAGAAGAAAAATATGGACTTCCGTACCCAATAATTCAAAAATGCCAGTGGCATGATTATTCTCATGTACAATGTGACCTTCAAATAATCTTTTTCTAAACCCTTCATTCATAACAGAAAGCACACAAACCTTCTTTTCTTTCCTAGAAGATAAGGATTAACTACAAAGCATAAAAAATTTAGGGAATCAAAATAAAAATAACATTACAAATACAATAAGAGAGACTGAATAGCTCACCTATGCCTAGGGGAAAAGAAAATTTTGATCTGTTAACAAAATACTATTTTTCCAGGGTGTTAACCCAAAATATATGCTAATTGAAAAACATATTTTGAAAAATAGGTCCTTAACTGTTTTATACTGAGTAAAAAGCATCTTGAGAAGAATCTCCAGTTCCAGTCATGGAATTATTGTTTCACATCTCAGCTTTGACATGCAAGCCACATTAAATCAACTGTTTTTACCAGTTCCTTCTAATTTAGGAGTCTCCAGATGTTTACGTAGACCTCCTTAGTTACTTCTGAACAGGACAGACTATGGGGAAATTCCAAAACCTTTGCTCCATTAGTTCTGGTGTTTCTAGGGATTGTGGCAGGTCACTATATTAGTCAATTAAGAGTCTAATCTCTGGGTGGAGCCATAGCTTTAACATTTGAATTCATACCATTCATATATGAACTGGATGACATCTTTTCCAATTGGACCATATAATAGTGTGAATTCCACCTGCAATTTGATTGACATGTTACAATCCTTCCTAAAGAACTACTTCATGTGATATCTTTGATGAAGAATAATTATGTCTCTACCCTTATGGTGTCCAGAGAGAGCTGGCCAGTGGCCTTGTTTAAGGTGACCCTGTCCCTTCTGGACAAATTGGAGTCACAGGAACTCTTGTAGGGCCCCTGAGAAGATTATTCTAGACATCTACTGGATAAAGTTATTCAGAGTTGGAATCCAGTTGTACAGATTCTGTGGAGTTGCCTGAGGGACAGTCTTGCCTGATTAACTGGAAAGAGTGCTAAGAGTTCTGTTGGTTCTAATGAACTGGCTAGGGTCTTTGGAGTGGTGAATTCAGCCACCTGTATATTAGATCTCTATTGTTCCTGGTTGATTAAGATCTCTTGGGGGCTGGAAGTGGCTGGGCCCGTGCAGAGGTGAATACTTCTCCTCTGGGAGACAGGTGGCTGTGTGTTTCTTGAAGGAGGCAGTTGTTTGCCCCTTTTTAATAGGAGTATACAGGATGCAATGCATTTGGACAATTTTTACTGAAAGTGGTTGAATTATAGCTCCAGAAGGCACTGAAAGAAGCAAATTATCTGGAATCTTTTCAATTAGGATTTAGGACTGAATATTGCATTGAGACAACATCATCTGTTGGATTTGAAATAGGGATAATGCATCCATTATTATGCGTCCTTCTTGATCTCACTGTGACCTTTGATATCATTGATCATGAATCAGTCTGCACCAGTTCAGTGGGTTGGGCATGGGAGGCAATGTGTTACAGTGGTTCTCCTCCTTTCTCCAGAATTGACTCCAGTCAGTGTTGGGTGGAAGGAGGCAAGTTGAGCCTAAGGTCTCTATATTTTCCCCTCATTCTCTTTAATATCTATGAAGCCATTGGGCAAGGTAATAATGAACATGAGTTGATACCATCAGTGTGCTAATGATATCCAGTTGTACTTGTCCCCTCTGGGCCAACCAGGCAATGGGCAAAGACCTTTACCGTTGCTTGGAGACTATGATGCTCTGGAGGGGAAGAACAGCTTTTGGCTCAACCCTGACAAGATTGAATGGATGTGGGTTTTAGGGCACCCCAATTTTTGGGACTTTGCATCTTAATTCTGAATTATGGTGAATTTTCCCAGTTAAAGTTGGTGCCCAGTTTAGAGGTCTTCCTCAGCTTCAGAGCAAAGATGAAATGGCATCCATGGCCAAGAGGACTCTTGCACATGCTAGTTCAACCCGTAGTTGGATCTGGAGCCCTTGCTCATGGTGAATCTTGCCTTAATCACCTCCAGTTTGGATTACTGTAATATGCTCTATAGTATATCAAATTACCATTGAAGGGCACTTGGAAGCTGCAATTGGTCCAGAATGTAGTTTTGTGAGTAGTTTTTGGTTTCTCTTATTATTCCTCTGTATCATCACTACTCTGTGAATTCCACTAGATCTGAGTAGGCTTCTGGATTCCATTCGATTCAAGCTGATGTTTATCATTGTAAAGCCTTGCATAGCATAGGGCCTGCAGAGTACCTCCAGAACCATCTTTCTTCCATTGTTTTTGCTTTCCCCAGCCGATCTAGCACAGAGGCCTGCTTAGGATCCCCTCTATCACTGAACCATGGTGGCACAGTGGTTAGAATGCAGTACTGCAGGCTAGCTCAATGCTCACCCCAGGGGTTTCATTATGAATGGCTCAAGGTTGATTCAGCCTTCCATTCTTCTGTGGTCAGTAAGGTGAGGACCCAGATTGTTGGGAGCAATATGTTGACTGTGAACTGCTTAGAGAGGGCCATAAAACACTGTGAAGTGGTATATAAGTCTAAGTGCTATTGCTATCAGATTTAATGCCATCTTGTGGAATGCCCAAGTTTTTATTTTCAGTAGCAGTACCTGTCTAATGGATCAGAATCCCCTGGAAATTTAGATGGCAAACACTCATGGGCCATCTCCCCATCTCTGAAAAAATCCAAAGGACTTGTCTATTACCTTCCTTCATTCTTCACAGTGATTGTTATCTCCGCTTGTTCATTGAGATGTCTTCAGTCAGCCATGATTCATGCTGGAAACCCCCATGTTTTGTCATGAGGTTATTTAGGTAATAGTAGTGGAGAAACAGGATGACATATAACCTTTTTCTATGGGAAATGAGTTGAGACATGGAATACTTGCTTTCAGGAAAAGAGTTCTGCAATGGTCAATAACTACTAAATTGCCATTTTCAAACACTGAGAGAATCGGATAGAAAAT